ACACCAGCAGGTGCAAGTGGAGGAGAAGTGGGGAATCAAACCCGGTTCTCCCAGATTAGAGTCCGCACATTTAACCACTACACCAAACTGGCTCTCCAAACAGGATAAAAACGCAATTCCTCTGTCCCTACCTCTCCACCCCTGCAGTGGATTGTGGCCTCAGGCCAGGATTTGCGTTTCCCCCTCCTGTGTGGAGAGAAACTCCCGCCCGCCTGTTCAGGACTGGCCACCAGCCCTGCCCCCCTCCTGGCTCTCCACCACGGCCCACGGTGGCCTGGACGGCCCACGGAGGAGTCCCTGGCTTGCAGGAGCCCCACCCGCGCTCTCCCTGGAACCGGCCGTCCACGCAGAAGACCGGGCTGAGACTGACTCCTTTCTCTTTCCCCCCTCAGGAGCCAGAAAGCCACCTTCCCCTTGGCCCCGCCCCTGGGGTGTGTCCCTCTTTTCCTGCTCTTTCCCCTCAAGGCTGCTGGGAATTGTAGGCAGGGAGGTGTGGCCGCTTCATTGTTCCCTATGGTGTACCCCCCCCCCCCCACACACACGTAAGGAACTGCCAGGCTGGTATCCATTTCAAGGCCTGGCAGCCATTTCGTCACAGAGGCTTTTGTTGAGTGCCCTCCAGGGAGTCTTGTCTGATCCCCAGAGCAGAGGTGCACACTCAGAACCAAGCTCTTACAAACTGCCAATCTATGTTAAACGATCCTGTGCAGGCACTCTTGCTCAACATAAAAATACTGTTCTGGATCAGACCAAGCTCCATTGTAGTGGCAGCCTTCGTTGCCAGATGACCTGCAATCTGCGGACAATTGGCAGCTGCTGGAAATTGGTATATTGCAGTAATCAATCCCCAATGTGGTGCCCACTGGAGCGTTTCTTGGTATTCACTCATGTGTTTAAGGGAGGCGGGCAAGGCCTTTTCCTAGCAGGCCATGCAAGAAAAAAAGTTCCCAGTTGGTGGCTGGAGATCACCTGGGATTGCAACTGATCTCCGAGTGGCAGAGATCAGTTCACCTGGAGGAAATGGCTGCTTTGCAAGGTGGACTCTCTGGCATTATACCCCATTGAAGTCTCTCACTTCCCCCAACCCCCTAAAATGCATTTATTTTTGGAAATTGGTGGGTGCATGGGGGGGAGGGGCCAGAAGGGATCCTTGCCTAAGGTGCAAAATAAGATGGGGCTGGCCCGGCCCTGCCTGTGTAGGGGGAAAGGGCCCAGTGACATCACAGGAAGGGCCCTCCGTTGTCACTGTAGAGTTGGGGCCATGGGGGACTTAGGGAGGGGCTTCCCAGAAATTTACGGGGGGGCTGCTGGGAACACCCCCCCAACTCTAACCCCCTACGCGGAAGTAGGAATCTGAAAGGGGGGGGGAGAGGGAGCAACCCTGCCCACCCCCACCCCCACCCCCCAGCAGAGCGCCGAGCATGTGAGGGCGAGAGCAAACTACAGCTCCCAGCAACCCTTGCCAGCATTGCCCCGCCCCTTCCGTTCCCTGGATCAGCTGCAAGGCGAGACCCAGGGCTCCCGGTCGTTTTCCTGCCATCAGCCCTGGCCGGCCCATGATGAGTCCAGGTAAGCCTGACCCAAAGCCCGCCCGCCTAACCCTAACCCTTTCGGGCCGCTGGTCTCCGTCCGCTCCCGCAGCCGCCTCTGCCGCCGCGCCCCTCCCCGCGCAGGGTGCGGCCCCTTTGCCAGGGTTAGGGTTAGGGCAAGGTTGGCACAAGCGCCCCGGAGACCGAGACCGAGCTTTTCTGGGGTCTGCTCCCGCGGGCAAGAGGTGTGGGCCTGTCCCCTTGGCGCAGAAGCGCGACGGAGAAGAAGTGACCACTGGCCCCGGCTGAACACGCGCAGGAGGCTGCGGGGAAAGAGGGAGAGGAGCCTCCCCTCCCCCCCCTCCCTCCCCGCTGCCTTCTCTGCCTGCTGCTGGCATCATTGCCCCCCCCCCGAGGGGGGGGGGGGGGGGGGGGGGCACACGGACGGACAGCAGAGGGCCCCCTGGTTCGTCCCCGTCCCCGAGGAAGCGGCTGCTTTTCTTCCGGCGAGCGAGCCGCCTTATGGTGCTTCGAGAGAGGATTGCGGGGAACTGGGCGGGGGCAGATCTCTGGCGTGAGGAAGGTGTGGCGGCCCGCATGACCGGCTGCTGCTGCTGGACGTCCTGGGAGAGAGACTGGCTGCAGATGCCTCCGGTTTCGACTTGCTTCTGAGCCGGTGCCGCTTCCTGCTCTGGTGGCTGTAGCGGAGCAGACTCGCCCACTGCGCCAGATATTGTGAGCCCTCCTTCTAAAGCTTGCAGCGTCGCCAGGGAACTTTCCATTGGGTTTGCCTTCTCAAGGACTCCAGGAACTGTCTCTGGAGACCTTCCAGAGGTCACCTCAGGAATGCTCCCCGACACTGGGTTAGATCCAAGGCCACCCCTCTCCATGCTGTCTGTGGGGGTTCTGGAGAGAAAGAATCCCAAACTTTCACAATTCCCCTCTGTCAATATCATTGATTGGTTGATCAGGTCCTACCCTTTATTTGGATGCCCTGCTCTTGCTATGAGATCAGTGACATCCTAGCAATTGTCTCTGAGCATGGGCAGAGTCCGTTTCTGTGGCCGCTGAGAAATTATTCTATGAGGGGACTCTAGTATTGCAGTGTTCAGTGAAAACTCTGGGAAGGTTCTCAGGTCCAGTTGCCTTGGCCTGGCAAAATGTCTTGGGCCAGCCTCAAAGCGTTGGTGTGATCCAGTACGCTCTGCCTCCTCCTCCACCACCCCCCAAATGAGATGCCACCTCTGCGCCCTCACTTCTTAGCATCCCTGGCTGCCCTGGGCAACTGCACTCTGCCTCTCCTCTGTGGCTTCTGGCCTTCAATGTGCATTCGGTGGTGTGTAGATGGGGCAGAGATTTCTTGCTCCCTGAAGGTTGACACGGAGGTGCTAGTGGACTCTTTGATAGGATTTATTCTTTCTATGATTTTTGCTGAGAAAGTATCCTGGGGGGGGGGCACTGAGCTGCTTTGTCTGGCTCCACTGGATTTTGATTAATGGTACAGCTGTCTTAAATTATATGTTTCTGTACTTAATGCACTTGTTCATATTTGTCTCGGATTGGATCATATCAAGATTAACGGAAGCCCCGAAACGGCCTGTCTGGTGGAGGGGTTAGAGTGCTGAAGGGGGAGAGAGGGCAGGGAGGCCCAAGCGGCATTCTCCACTGCCATGATCCACAGGTTCTCAGCCGGCTGACCTACCTCCCAGAGTGGTTGTGAGGGGGAAGCTACTTATTGGGTCCCCACTGCTGAGAAAAGTGGGGTATAGATATCCAAATGAATAGAGGTGTTCCAGGATTTAAACATTTTTTAAAAACCTGCCTGATCCCCTGTGCGTGCCTGTGGGGGGGGGGGGTCCTCCGGGCAGGCAGAGATTGCTCTCTCCCCCCTCTTTGAGGGAGACCAGCCCAAGCAAGGGCCGGTCCCAGAAGGGAGCAGCGCCGGGCGATTGCTGCTCCCAGCAGGTGGTTGGAATGAGGCGGTAAAAGCGTCTCTGTTCGGGAGCACAGGTGCAGCGAAGCCCCTTCGGCCTTTTCTGGTTTCTCTGTCCTGGGCCCTCGGAAGGGTTCTGTGGGTTGATCGTACACCTGTTTCGGAGCTGGCTGCCCTCAGCCTGCTGATGACCCTCAGCCTGGTCTCTCTCTCTCTCTCTCTCTCTCTCTCTCTCTCTCTCTCTCTCTGGGCCCCGAAGGCCGGGGG